ACTCGAAAAACTTTGGTTCATGCTGCTTAGTTTTTTGATAAAACACCTGAGAAAATTAGGCAAAATCTGATGTACTTGTCAAAATGTTGACCCTGTCTCTCTTCAATTGTTTTTAGAGAAACTGCAATTGCCGATCTAACTGGTCACGACGCCAGAGTTTCGCGGGTTGCTTTTCATCCATCTGGTCGATTTTTAGGAACTTGCTGCTTTGATCATTCTTGGCGATTGTGGGATCTTGAATCAACGCAAGAAGTTCTTCATCAAGAAGGTCACTGCCAACCAGTCTACAGTATTGCCTTTCAAAATGATGGTTCTGTTGCTGCCACAGGGTGAGAGTCGACACTGAAATATTGTTCAGTTGTATACTTTTAAAACCAAAATTATACTGCTCTTCCTTAACTTAAAAGAAAAGTATCTTAGCTGCATTTACATAAATTTAAGGTTCTCTCTATGTCACAAATTGCTTTGCACACATTTGTAACAGCAAACAGTTCCTTACATTGCCCTCACAAAAATCAGGGATGGAGGGATTGTGAAGGCACCTGAAAAGAGAAAAACAGTGGAAAGGCAGAAGGCTATTAGAATTTTGCTTTCATAATTAGTATTATTTCTTCTTACGAATGCACTAATTTTTGTGGAAGAAACCATCAAACGCTCTTTTTTTAGAAGGAAACTATTGAACGCATTACTTGTCGGAAGGAAATTATGCAACGAATTCTTATATACAAAGCAAATAGAGAAGCACTCTCTTGTTTATGAGGAAAATTGAGAAGCGCGCTCTTGTATATGAGGAAAATAGTAAAGTGCTAAGTCGTATATGGACAGGAATGTGAAGGCTGCCTCAAAAAATGTGGAGGCAAAGAATTTTCTGCATCTTTGCGTGAATTGATATTTGTAGACTATTTTTGGTCTATAAGTTCGACATTTTCACTACCCATCCTCATCAGATGAAAAATTGGACTACATCGTCCAATTGGGAACAACAATTTTTGGCTCATCCATGAAAACACATATGTGCATAGGGAAAGTAATGGCACATACATTGTGACACATACAGACTGAGCCGGAAATTGTAGTTCCTTATTGCAAAATGAAGTCCGATTCTCGTCTTAGTCAAATGCAGCAGGTTCCTAGGGCAACGGGAAGCAGAAAATAGTTTTAGGGTACTTTAGTTTATCGAACTCTTTCACCTTCTCTTTCAGAGGTATGGACGCCTTTGGTCGCGTGTGGGATCTTAGAACAGGAAGATGTATCATGTTCATGGAAGGCCATCTGAAATCAATTTATGGGGTTGACTTTTCACCCAACGGGTAAGTTGTCGATTTGTCTTAATTTTCATCGGACTTTCATTGATACAAATTTTTGTAATTAAGCATATGGCATTCTATATAACTTTATAAAAAGTGAAAATGAAGTTTATGAGGCATATTTAAGTGCAATCAAACCTCTGAAGTCAATTTCTTTCTGTCAAAATTTGTTAAATGTACGGATAAAACCATGATCAGCTCTGTAGCAATTTTTGGAAGTTGGCAACACTTTTTTCCTCCATTTAAATGTATGTAAAATAGTCGACTCTTGCGTGCCTCTACAAAAATCGATATTTTTAATGTATTTAAATGCAGGAAAAACAGTGTTGCCATCTTGAAAATCGCCTTTTGGCCAGCCTAACTTCATCAGACATCGCTAATTTTTTCCTATGTTTCATTTTATAAACAGAAAATGAAACAACACCAATACAGGGTCTGTCCGGAAAGTATCCGACCTTGTTGATTATCTTGCCATCAACGGTTGATAAGAGGTTAGGGCTTTGGATTATTTTTGCAGGGACTCTCCTGAGTGCAGGTGCACATCTGGACTATCACACGTTGAATCAGTCGTTGGTAATTTGCTGATTAGTGCATCCTATTCTGCTGTGATCGTCAGATTTCGTTTTACCTAAATAAGAAGAAGTTAAGGAGAGTGGGGTGGGAAGAGTTTGTGAAGAAGATCATCACAGGGGACGCGTCTTGGGTCTACGAGTACGGCCCTGAGACAAAAGTACAATCGTCAGTTTGGATTGCACCCGGGAGACCTCGCCAGTAGAAAGCTCGGAAAAGTCGCAGCAATGTGAAGACAATGTTGACTGTCTTCTTCATTCAAGAAGGTGTCGTCCATCATGAATACGCTCCCAAATGCTCTACCATCAATAAATAAAGAGAGCTACCGAGAAATTTTACGTAGCTCAAGGGGCCATGGGGAGCCTATTTATGATGAACGACACCTTCATGATCGAAGAAGACAGTCAACATTGTCTTCACATTGCTGCGACTCGTCCAAGCTTTCTACGGGTAAGGTCTCCCAGGTGCGATCCAAACTGACAAATGCACTTTTGTCTCAGGGTCGTACTCGTAGACCCAAGACGCGTCCCTTGTGATGATCTTCTTCACAAACTCTTTCCGCCCCACTCTCCTTAACTTCTTCTCTTTTAGGAAAAACGAAAGCTGACGATCACAGCAGAATAGGACGCACTAATCAGCAAATTACCAACGACTGATTTAACGTGTGATAATCCGGATGTGCACCTGCACTCAGGAGAGTCCCTGCAAAGATAATCCCAGGCCCCAACCTCTTATCAACCGTTGATGGCAAGATAATCAACAAGGTCGGATACTTTCTGGTCGTACTTGAATTTTTGCGAGTATATTCTTTGTAAGATAAGAAAAATCTGCAGAAAGTTCATAGGCGTCTTGTACTTTTGGTTTTCTGTTAAAAAAATAAAACATGAAAGAAAATCAGGCAACATGAAATGAAGTTAGCATGACTAGTTAAATGCATCCAAATGGTCCTCCAATTTTTATGCTTATCACACTAATCAGCAAATTTTCATGAGTAAGTCTTCTCACAAAAGAAAGGTACCAACAAATTAACTTCCTGACAAATTTTGAGAAAAGAAAGAGATAACTTGCAAAAAAGAAGTGAAAGTCTAGGTAAGGTTTTTCCACCAAGTAAATATATAATACATCATTTAGACACAGTTGAGTACAATATTCAATTCGGTAGAATTTTTTTATCTTCGCAAGTGCTAGGCACCTTCAAAGACATCCTTAGAAATGCTCTGTCCGTATTCAATCCTAAAGTCTCCAACGTCCTGTCTGTTATAAAATCTTCCTATAATTAACTCAATGAGCCTTGTGGCCTTGTTTTGGAACTAAGCATCTCATTTGAAGGAAGGCTAAAGTGTATTATTTTCTCACAGGCCCACTTATCTCTTACATTCCTTTTACGTAGGTACATAATGGCAACTGGCAGTGAGGATAACAGCTGTCGAATATGGGATCTTCGCAAAGTAGCATGTGTTTACACGATACCAGCGCATATGAATCTAGTGTCTCATGTTAAATTCCAAGAAGATGAAGGCCATTTTCTTGTCACTGCCTCTTATGACAACACCGCAAAGGTATTTATCTTTCAACTCTTCTGAAAATGTTAATTACAGTGGCAAAGCATGAATCATCGATTTTCCCATCTGAAGCTATGATAAAGAATCGATTAAAGCAAAAGATCATTAAAGTGTTCATTGCAAATACTCTGATAATTGATCCTTTCTTATTTGTTTAAATGACAGATCAATCGCTTTATCGCAAAGCAGGATAAGCCGCTGGCTCTCCTCTGTCAATTTATGTAATGCATTTTGGTTTCAGGTTTTCCATCTTACTTGAAATCTTATTTTAAGACTAATCAATGTGATTTTTTGCTAATTTCACTCGGTTTTTCTCTTCCATTTGTAGAATATTCAATGAAAATTTCAAGCTATAAATGTATCTCCTTTTGCTTCAAGGTAATTTTAAGACCAGAAAGCCACAATCAAGATTTTCTCTCCTAGTTTCCTTTTTCCTCGCAAATTTTGTCTTGATAAGCTAAAACTATAGGTAGACACCAAATCTTTACTACAATTGCAAAACTACCAAACCTTCTATTGCAGTGTGCAATTCTGCAGCTTTCATGTCTAATTTTTCTCTTTTAAAGAATAACTTCTCATTTTTATGGAACAAAGTTTTATCAATGTTTTTGCGTTACTGTTCTCAGCCTTTTCAAAAATATTCATTGGACACTTCGTACAAAAATGTCCAGGGATATTATTTTGAGGAAATAGAGAATGAGCAAAAATTTTGGAACACCCCATTCGATTACTATGTAGTTTCTCTGTTAACTTGCATTATGAACTTGTTTACTCGAATTCCCTCTCTCCTCCTTTTTTTGACAAAATTGGTTTTTTCAACTTTGAAAATTAAGGCCACTAGAAATGGTATGATTTAGAAAACAGTGTCACATGTTCTCTCCTTAAAATCGTATCAGAAAACGATTCACCCAACAGGAATTTAAAAAATCAACTCTGGAAAGGAAAAAGGTATCGTCAAGAATTTTTTACTGAAACTTAATAGAATTCAGATTACGTTTACAAATGATGTCATTTGTATTTTTGCCATTTAACCAATGTTACTGGGTCAGGTGCGCTGGTCACAGAATCGTGTTTTGATGCTTAATTCATGTAGTTTAGCCAAAAATAATAAAATCCGTTCAAACAGCAACTTTATACATTCAATATTAACCTAGATATCACCCTTTGAAAAGTCGCGTTTTTGACGTCATCCATCGCAGTAGTGACATCGTTGGTTTCTTTCACCTTGCTCTCATCCAAGTTTCACAGTGAGTAATCCGTGCAAATGTATGTTTCCCTGATTGATGAAAGCGAGGTGGAAGAAACCAAGGGTGTCACTACCGTGGTGGATGACGTCAAAAACGCGACTTTTCAAAGGGTGATATCTTGTTTAATAGTTAATACTGAACGTACAAAGTTGCTGTTTGGACGGATCTTATTATTCTTTGCTAATCTACAAAAATCAAGCATCAAAACATGATTCTGTGACCAGCACAATTATTGATCCATTGTTCACTTGAGTATATTGTTCAGGAGAAGATTGCCATACTTCCTGGTAAATGATTTGTTTTCTTTGTGAGATTCTGATCAGGGGTGCACATTTTACTATGCTTCCACAATTTCACGCGATAAGCTTTTCCTCTTCCACAAAATTTTTTTAAAAAATGTCCACAATTTCGTGACTCCTTCCACAAAAAGTGATGACCTTTTTTTTTTTTTTTTTGTTTCGGTAAAAAATATGAGATTCAAAGTGAAGAGCGAGAAAAGAAACGAAAAGAAAGAAGGAAAGAAAAAAAATTTCCACAAAAATTGGGACGCTTCCACATTTTCACGCGATAATTCATCGCGTGATCGCGCTTCCTAAAATCGGGAAGGCCTTCCACAATTTCACGCGATAATTTATTGCGTGATCTAGTATATTGTGCACCCCTGATTCTGAAGAGAAAACATGGTACCTAGTGCTGTAATTCACACCTTGTTTAAAGACCCGTTGCTAAGCCTAACATTAGCGATTAATGTTTCATACTGACTCAAACATATGTTTTAAATTTTGTTTTACACAGATTTGGTCCAACAAAACATGGCAACCAATGAAGACTCTCTCTGGGCACTATGGTAAAGTTATGGGCATGGATGTTTCCCCAGATTCAAAGTTTATCGCAACATGTTCCTACGATAGAACGTACAAACTGTGGGCTCCCGAGTAGTTCTCATTACCTGTGCTTACGTTTTCTAGCTTGAATCTAATTTGATGACTGTGATGTTACTAGTAGTGTCTCGAATGTATTTTATTAATGTTTGTAAGTTCCACCACAAACGTATCCTAAGGCCCTGTCTCCACAGGACGTTTTCATGGGATTTGTCCCAAGTTCGAATCGCAGGAATGAAACTTCTGGGATTTTTCCCAGTTACCGTCTCCACGGGACGGGGCTCATACAGTCCTGTGACTAGTTTTCGCGGGAAGATAAATTGGTGAAAGTCGAGTATTTAACTGGGATTAAAATAATAATTGCACTCAATTTACAATTAGACACATTATTTTAACTAAACAAACATTAACAATGTAGTAATGAATAAAATATCGCACAATTCGTTTTCACTTCTTCTTCTTCTCTCAGTGGGTCCTAGGGGTACAAGTACCATCCTTGGTACTGGGAAAAATATTGATTAACTCAATATTTTTCCCGACTTCGTAAGTGGGATTTTTCCCTGGGACCAATCTCGTGAAACGGCTCGTGGAGACAAGGCCTTATAGAAACTGGATGCCGTAGTTATTTTGATGGTTTGTGTGTCCTCAACAATGCAGATAGCACTGATTTTCTTTTATAAACAGTGTGTTACTGCGTCGCACCCTGAAACAATCATTGTTTGATTAAGTTTCACCCTTATTTTCTGAAGGTTTTTAAAATCGAACAAATTGCATTTATAGATCGAGTGAAGAATCCACTCGATTTTCTTAATACTTTCTTTTTCCCCGCTTGAAAATCGCTATTTTTCTCGAATCAACAATGACGATTCAATGACCAGGTAAAATCTTTGTCCATCTCCAGAGTTGCAGATAAGATTTACACCATTGGCTGATGGTCCTCTTATGAATTTTGTAGTTGTAAGTTGGAATATTGATCTCCTCTTTTCAAGATTAAATGAAAGGAATTATTTTTATTTTGGGTTTGTGTTTTAAACAGTTCTACTATGTAATTAATCTAATTGAATTACTATAATTTTGAATAATCCAAAAGTGAATCACAAGAATTGAATCCTCTGAAATTTGGGTCACGAAAAATTGAGTTTCCACACATATTTTTTCTTGCGTCTTTTCCGCTTTTGTTTTTAATCTTTTGTGTATCAATATCAAATACATCTACATATTTTGTTTTCATCAGGTTTCAATTTGTTGATTTTCAGTAAATGAAACTCTCTGCTGTATCAGTTATTTATTCACCTGGTATCTTCATCGTATCCACTGAACCATTATAGAACCGTATTTTTCAGAATACGCTGATTACCTTTTGCAACTCAGTAGCAGGGTTGAATGTCCAGTGTTGTTTATATGATGAGAAAAATACTACTCATGTTTGTCTTAAATTCATAAATCATCTACTGCTCTTTTCATTTTTCAGTGAAGTGAAGTAGACATCACCAATTATGTCTCAAATGCTGTGAAGTAACTGTTTTTTATGGATCGTACAAAAATCTCTTTTTTTCTCTCAAAAAAATATTAAGCCACGCATACCACCAGGCAGGTCTGATTTTAGTCTAATAAAAAACCATATTTCCAGGAAAGACACGATCAAATATGAGCAACATATAGCAAAAGGGAACCAAGAGGCGTTTGAAAAAAAAAGAAAAAAAAGTTTCTGCCCGCGTGGAAGCATATTTTCTTTTGTTTAAAATCTAGTGTTCGCAAGAAATATTTAATATGCCAAAATTTGACCTGAATTTTATTTTTTACATTGAGCCTTATGAAGGGATGAAACTCCAAACCTATTTCACTCTGCTCAAGATAATTTCATTTGGTTGCATTTTGCTAAAAACTCAGCCAATTTTTAGGTACTCTGAATCTTTGTATATACTTTAAATGTATTTTTTTTAAGTCAAATAAAAAAAAAAATATTTTTCATGAATTCGTTTTTTCTTTATCTTCTCTTTATTACTACCTATGATCAATCAATTAATAAATCAATCAATTAAGTATGTATTCTGATAGGAAAGTGTATGTACTGGCCAGTGTGGCAACTACACGAGGCAGTGATAATAAAATGCACCAAAAATCAGACTTTCAGTTGTTCTTTTGTCCTTGCAAAACTGGTTGTTCTATGTTAGAGGGTGAAGAGCCTTCTTTAACTCCCAACGTACATATGCTTGTCGGTCAAGATGACCAATTATTATTTTGGAATGAAGTTTATACAAAACTACCGTCCAAGGAAAATCACTGTCGAGCAACTGGGTGCTGCGTGTCATCATTTGTTTTTACCCGTCTTCTTTGACCTAAAATACTTGCAATTATATGCAGCAATGGATTTAAAAATAAGTTGAGATGAAATTAGATAAGATTTCTGGAAGATTTACAGGAAACTATTTGTCATGCTTGAGAGGAACGTCCAAAAGCCATGAAAAAGAAATTGCTCGCGTGAAAAACAAATCAACGGTGAAGTAAAAAAGTGCGGGGTCTCCAATTGTGATGTGACGTGGAAAGTTGACTAATGTTTTATTTCTTTTTCTCATAAAAATAGCAAGTCTCCGCTGAAAATTCCCCGTATTCATTCAATAATTTTCACCGAAAATTTCAAGTTGATATTTTCATTCTAGTTTTCTTCTAAAAAAATTAAAACATCAAGGATTCTTAAATGTGGCAATGAATGTATGCTTTTTTCACTTCAGGCTTCGAAATGAATTTCTTGAATAAATATAGATTTTTATAATTCATAATATTTAGTTCTAGCGTATCTATGGTGACTTTTAAACTTTTGAATAAGTGATTCACATGCTTGGTAATGAGAATAATGTACAGATGATTAAAGGATTTTAGTCGGACTTTAACATTTTTTAAAACGCCTCGAATACGCTAAGCAGCAATTGTCGCAGCAGATTTGTTGTGCGTGCTGATTTTAACTCATTACATACTCTCCAGTTTGAAGGCGTTTGACACGTGTGGGTGCATCTAACCTAATGCACTCTATTGGCGGAATAACGAAGTTTAGTGGTTATCTCCGCTTGATTGTTTACTAACAATTTGTTATCTGACTTTTCAATTTTTCCGGAGAATTTCATGTATTTTGCCGAAGTTATTGCAATTTTTTCAGAACTTTTTACTTCTGTGCTTTCGTCTCTTTTAAGATTCGAATGAGTTCTAAGATTCTATTTTCAATTTGTGCTTCTAATCAAACGGACGGACACACCAACTACATATTGTTAATTTTTCCAACGCTTTGCGTCCCATACTAAATCAATGAATGTCAGAATGAGTTGAGTAATTAAACAATTATTAATTACACTTACGGAAACTGTTTAATTTTTGCTCATCAGGAGTTCTGTAAGTCATCCCAATCCTGCCTCAACCTATGTCTACGTTTGAAGTTCCACAGTTTGGGAGAAGTGTTTAACAGATTCTCACCCAGTTAGTTTCTAGCTGATCATCAAGATTCATCCGAACAAACGAAGCAGAATGCCCTTCAATTCAGATGAGCCAAAACCAAGTTTTCAACCATCAAACAAGGTATGTGCTTGCAAAATTTTCCAACAGCATGAGGATAAGTAAATCTACCATGAGTCCTGCACCTTGTTGGCGTTTATTTTTCAGAATACGATATAAAATTTTTTGGCTTTGAGAGAATTCTTCTCTCGGGTGGCTAAGTGATTAGGAGTCCAACATAAGCCCTGAAATTTGATTAGACCATGCCGACGCAGATTTGGTCGGACCTGTTAGGTTAGGTTTGTCCAGGCATGGAAGTCGCTTGCTACATTAAACATGTTGGCAGCAAGCAGATCGTCAACATTTTTATTTCAAAACTTTAAGATATTGATATACAATGAATCCATAGTTAAGATAGGGTTTGTTCAGTCATTCTGACATTGTTTCAATAAGTGGTCCACCTTCGATAATTTTCCATTTCCACAGTGCTGCGTCGCTGCTCGCGAAAACCAACTGATGATTGATCCAGGGTGACACTGATGCTGTTCATAATTTTATAAATGCCTGGTCTTCTACATGATCGCTTGCTTGATAGTTAAATGGAGACAAGTGCTTACTTATCTAATGCAAGTTTGTGAAATGTGAAACTCAAACGAGTAAGATGAAAATCACTCCGAAAGTGCTATACGTGTGACAACATCAACCCTTCATGCAAACACCTTTTTTCAGGAGTTTAATGTTGCGTTTAAACACATGCTCGTGCAATTTATTTGACTGATTTAACTCAAATCAGCGAAGATTGCCTAGTTTTAGCAGTGCTTATTTTTTTAACGAAAGAAAAGGCTGTATTCTAATTCGCAAAATCTATTATCTATAATTAGAGGAAATTAGGCAATGTCAAATGCAGTGAGGTTGCTTTTGATTAAAGTATTTAATCCAGTTCATGTTTTCCACAAAACTTTTTTGCTGTAGTAGTTTAGAAATCCTTGGCTTCTTCTTCTTAAATATTGACCCTTTTTTTAACATCTCTCTCGCACTCATTTCCAGGTCAAGGTGATGTCAAAACCAATGCCACCCCCAAGTCGGGGAGGTTCATACATGGGGCAGCCTCGGAGTGGAGGAACATCTGGAATGGAGGGTTCAATGTCTGTCAACTCAATTATGACAACCAAAGAAAAACAAAAATACATCGAGGACTACAACTTCCAATATTGTGATGAAGCCTCCAAGTATGAAAAAATCGCAAAAATCGGTCAAGGAACCTTTGGGTGAGCCATTTTAATTTTCTTTATCCAAGTATTGTTGGATATATGCGAAAAATGCCGATTTAGTCGTACAGTTCAAAACATTCAATAATAATAATAAAAAAAAAAAAATTCCTCGCAATTTTTTGTGATTTTATTTTTCCAGGACTATTGAAAAATATGCACTGAAGATTTCAATAGAACTGTCTGTTAGGTTCCCTTTTTATAAGAAAAATATAATCTGAGATGAATAACATATGGCAATCTGATAAGTATATTTTTTTTTACTTCAGGCACCAATTTACGCCATAGCCTTCGGAAAAATAGCTTCAAGGCTAGATTTTCAGTAAGCCAGGAAACTGGAGATCAATTTAAAAGTATGAATTGTCCATTTTTAACCTCAGAAAATTTCTAGTGTACTCAGGAATGTATCAAAAATAATTTAGCTCATGATTTGCAAAGGAGATGGAATATTGGTGCCAAAGAAGGATATAAAAGCTCAGCCCTCCATTTTTCTTTCAAAACATAGCATTGACAAGATACCTGAATTGTTGACATATCCTTGTGTGCTTGCAATCTTTGTGTTTTTTAAGTATAATTCTCTTTACTCATTAATTCTGACCGTCTAAAACTGCGAAAGATGTCAAAACATAAAGCATACTCTCGTTAATTGTAATATCATTCTTCCCATTTGTCTTGCTACTCTGTTACCGCATGTGTTTTGGATTGCTCAATTCTTCTCTGTAGTTCTACTTTTAAGGTCATAGATGTAAGTTTCCTAACAAAAGGTCTTTAATATCACATCATTTCTTGGGTTCCTTTGCAGGGAAGTCTTCAAAGCTAAGGATAGGAAGACGCAGAAAAAAATTGTAGCAATGAAAAAAGTTCTTATGGACAATGAAAAGGAAGGGGTAAGTAATGACCTTCGCCCTAACTACTCTGTTCTCTAGTGGGAGGAGTAATTTTTTGGCGTAAAGTGGAAGAATGCC